TACACTACTGTTTATGCTCTAAAAGCATTCTAAATGACTTCGTTTCGAGTAAATTCTGGATGCTACCCACTCAGGACACTTGGAATACATTGGACGAGCAGTATGGAGGAATATTGACACGTTTTTTGTGGACTTTTATGGACCTTTCTGCCTCGGGCACCATAGACCTCCATTATTTGAATGTCAGCAGACAGCAAGAAGCCTCCCAGATCTCCAGATGCATTTGAGATATCAAAAAAGTACTCCAGAGTGTTGTTCAGCATGGGGGTGAGTAGAAAATGAAGGCTAACCATGTTTTGGGTGTACTATTCCTTTAAGTAGAAGTATAGATACTGCAGTTTAAAAACACTGATAAAAGTTGACCTCTTTACTCAAGTAAAAGTGAAAAAGTAAGGGCCCAAAAAAAAGTATAAAAGTATAAAGTAACCTTTAAAAAAAAAGCCAGATGCCACTATAGGAATTGAAAGCTCAATTTTTCGACTATTTTTAAAAATTCTTTGAGATAGGGCCAAGGATGAGGGAGGTCTTGCTGGTCTCCGTCTCCATCTCCCGATACGCTCTTACCTGTGTCCGACCTTTCAGACATTTCAACATATTTTTCTGAATCCAACATTGTAGCATGGTATATACAGTTCGCTTTTGAAATTTGAAGAACACCTGCTTGCTTCTGATGATTTCCTTTAGCTAATTAATGAGTGTTTGCATTATATGACTCATCCAATTACACTAGTTTTCACTAGATGTGAAATAGTGCCAATTATCTGCATTAGATGGCTTGAAATAAATATTTATAAACATTAAACATGGAGCGTGGAGGTGGAAAAGTGGTTAGCACGCACAACCCATGTTCGGAGGCCTTAGTCCTCAACGAGGCTAACCCAGGTTCAATTCCGACCTGTTTTCCTTTGCAACATGTCCCTCCCTCTCTCTCATACCCCCTTTCCTGTCAGCCTACTGTCGAAAAAAACTCATAAATTCAAAACCAAAGCCAAGGGTAACGAGTAATGTTGGTTTTTAAAATGTAAGGAATAGAAAGTACAGATACTTGTGTGAAAATGTAATGAGTTTAAGTCAGAAGTAGTAAGAAAAATAAGTAATGGAGTAAAGTATAGATACCTAAAAAGTACTTAAGTATAGTAACGAAGTATTTGTACTTCGTTACTTGACACCTCTTGAATCCAGGACAAGACCTTATTACCTTTGTAACATTTAAACAAATATGGATATTTTGATGGCAAAATTAATGTAATTAATGAATGTCAATGTAATAACAAGAAACACCAACTTGCTCTAATATATTAGGACAAATAACAAAAGTGTTTCTATAAAAAATTCATGCCAAAGTGAAAGAAACACTTTTTTTTTTTTTTTTGGTACAACATAACCTTAGAGGCATTAATGCTGATACTTAATTTTTTTAGTTTATAAACCTAAATATAATTGTTAACTAGGCCTATTAACTTTTTAACATTACTTTTTAACTTTTCAATTAGCTTTTTACCTTTTTTTTTCTTGACTTGTTAACTTTTTTTCCCCCAACTTCATTTACAGTAGGCAATATATCATTCAAGGGCTCATCTAATTGGTCAAATGCCAAAATAAAATGTACAGCCATGTAGCTGGATCTTTGCTGAATGGCTGGATATAGATCTTGTGCTTCTAGACCTCACTGAGGGACGGGTGGAATGCAATTGATCAAAAACACTAACTTGCCCTATAAAGGGTTAAAGAGATCCAGCGCCAACTGCTCTGCTGGTAGCGTCAGAAAGCTGAAACAGTCCAAGTCTAAAGAGTAAATGCAGTTGGGCCAAAAAAAGTATTTAGTCAACCAATGATTGTGCAAGATCTCCTAGTTAGGAGATCCATTTATTTTATTATATTTGTTTTATTCCTTTAAACCTCTGTTGTTTTTATACATTTTTTAATGTAACCTGATATGTACAGCACTTTGTGGCTGCTGTGATAGATTAAAAGGACTTTATAAATAAAGTTGAGTTGAGTAGAAAGATGAGAGAGGCCTGTGATTTTCACCATAAGTATACCTCAACTATAGAGAATTACTTGCCTTGCCTAGAGGAGATTTGCTTGGACGATGGGTCAAAACACCAGCAAGTGTGTCCAGACCCGAACTGTATTTCACAAAACCAAGATAACCTGCTCTTGACCAGGCTGACTGCCAGGCTTACTCAAACCTGCTGTCTTATCTGCTCCGCCAGAGGTGACATAGATTTGAAACTAATGAATATGTCGCTAATAACAATACCTTTACTGTGTGTTGTGATATTTTTTATATCACCCTACATAAAATAAACACTATACTGTTTTTATATAATCAAGAACTTTATTTGTTACACAAGTTAATATGGTAGCCTATACACTGTAGAAAAAAAAAATCTAAGTAAGTTGTTTTTATTTAGAAAATAAGTGATTATTTTCTTAAATTGAGCATTTAAGTGAGATACTTTGCAAATGGAATAAGACAATTTACATTTTAAATAAGAAAAAAACAACTGCATTCTCTTATTTCAAGTTAATAAAATCTTTTTTTTTTTTTTTTTTTGGGGGGGTAAAAATTTTATGTCCCAATTGTATCATTTCAATTCCATTCTAGACTTTTTTGACAGTATTATGTCAAATATGAAATAATTTAAGTTCATTCTTTTTAAAATCTGTATTTATTTAAAGTAATACACGAACCAGTGCAATTAAACATTTGCTATTTGTTATCTCACCGTAGCAAAAGAACTGTTCTTTATCCAACTTCAAATGTCAGACTAAACTAAAAAGTTGTTTCATCTCCATCGGTCATTCTCTTCTTGCATGCAAAATTTTGTATTTTGTTGATTTAAGCTTATGTACTTGGAAAAAATAATAATAATTATTGAACTTTATTGATCTCACATTGGAGAACTTTATCTCAGCATTTAACCCATCCATTTGGGGAGCAGTGGGCTGCCATCGTGGGGCGCCCGAGGAGCAATCAGGGGTTAAGGGTCTTGCACCCAGAGTGGCAGTCTGTGGGAGTGGGTTTCAAACCCACAACGTCAAGATTCCAAGCTCTATGACCTAACCCCTAGGCCACTACCCCCTATTAATCTTGTGATGCAAAAATGTACTCTTGTGTGCACCTTTTTGTTCAAAATCTTGTTGATTGGCTGTGCTGCAGCTCACACACACAGACAGAGTGAAATGAATAAATGGTGCACACCTTTTGAATAGCAGGTATTTAAGACTAGATTTGGGGTAAAAAGAAAGTAAATATTTTCAAGTATCAGGTTCAGAATTTAAGTCCAAGTCAAAGTTGAAAGTCTCCATAAACATATTTGCAAGTCAAGATTAAATTCATTGAACTATTCACTCATCTTACCTGAGTCCAAGTCATCTGACCTGAGTTCCCACCTCTGTTATTACTAAAAGCTGCAAACTGTGCATCTTAAAGGAATAGTACACCCAAAACATGATTAGCCTTCATTTTCTACTCACTCCCATGCTGAATAACACACTGGAGTACTTTTTTGATATCTCAAATGCATCTGGAGATCTGGGAGGCTTCTTGCTGTCTGCTGACATTCAAATAATGGAGGTCTACGGTGCCCGAGACAGAAAGGTCCATAAAAGTCCACAAAAAACGTGTCAATATTCCTCCATACTGCTCGTCCAATGTATTCCAAGTGTCCTGAGTGGGTAGCATCCAGAATTTACTCGAAACGAAGTCATTTAGAATGTTTTTAGAGCATAAACAGTAGTGTATAGGATTTCCTGAAAGCGCGCGCCTGCACGTTCACGACGCTACGGAAGCCGGCAGACCAAACCAGCGCATTCAGCTCGGCAAAGAACTCATGCTCTTCCTCAACACTGAAGTCCTCAGACATTTTTCTTTCGTTGTTTCTTTCTTTGCACAGGTAAACAGCACATTTCTTCTTCTACGCTTGCATTATTGGCAGAGCAGACGCTGAATGCGCACTTTCATCTGGTTTGGTCTGCCGGCTTCCGTAGTGTCGTGATCGCGCATGTGCGCGCTTTCAGGAAATCCTATACACTACTGTTTATGCTCTAAAAACATTCTAAATGACTTCGTTTCGAGTAAATTCTCAGGACACTTGGAATACATTGGACGACCAGTATGGAGGAATATTGACACGTTTTTTGTGGACTTTTATGGACCTTTCTGCCTCGGGCGCTGGGCACCTCCATTATTTGAATGTCAGCAGACAGCAAGAAGCCTCCCAGATCTCCAGATGCATTTGAGATATCAAAAAAGTACTCCAGAGTGTTGTTCAGCATGGGGGTGAGTAGAAAATGAAGGCTAATCATGTTTTGGGTGTACTATTCCTTTAAGTCTTCCAAAGGAACTAGTGCCATCTCTGACACATTTTAATATTAATTAAACAGTCCCTTTCTCATTCTATATGTGTTATATATTCCACTGTTTTATTTAGCACCTATTACTTGGTGGTGCTAACCAGACTTGTTGAACTCTGTGTATTTTTGCAAAAATGATCAACAGCAAGAGATAAACAATCTTTTATTCATTTGCAATACAGTTGAAAAATATAACAGGTAGAAAACAGGCAGAAATGTCAAAATGCTGTCAGCTTGTTTGTTAACATGGACCAGTTTTTATGATGTAAAGGCAATGAGATGGCAATTTTTCCCCACTAGAGTGGCTGTTCCTGCTGGCTGATGTGTATGAAAATACAGCCAGGAAAACACCTCCTCATTCAATGGGAACCACTGTTTGCATATGGAAATATTAAAAATAAACTAAAATGTTATATTAAATTTAAAATCATACTTATTTTCAGCTTCTGGTTGGGTTATAAAGGTTTGCTATGAAATACAGAGTTAGAAATGGGGGATTTTTTCCTGCTACAAAAGGCTCACTAAGTATGGCTCATAAAACTTCATAACTGACATTCAGGAACTTTAGTTCCGGCTTTAATTTATTACAAATTTAATAGATTAAATGCAAAAGTTAGTGCAAAATTAGTTTTCAATTATTTTTTTTTCTTAAGCTGCACAGCTTCATAGAAAATATCACACTGATGTTACAACACACACTGAGGGGTTAGTTTTGGCTGATATTAGTGTACATGTTAAAACATTCTTCATGTGGACCTTCTTTATTGCGTCTCCCCTTCTGTATGATAATCTAAAAGTCCCATCTTCATAAAACAGTCAAGAGCTTATTCATTTAGTTAATTAGCAATGGTTAGGATAGTATAACTGGTTTATAGAATAGTGGTTTGGGGATTGATGCAGGGGGACTTTTAGAAGCGACCGTTAGCCAGCGTGAGCACAAAGCGAGGCAGGTGAAGAAATGACGGGATGACTGCTGAGAGCCAGGAGAGGTACGGGACCTGGCTCAGGAGGAATTTAAGGGAAGTGAAATCCAGTACATCCCGCCCTGAAAAAAAATCATAAGAGCTTACTTAATTAGAATACATTTTTGAAGGTAGAACCTGATTCTGTAACCTGCTGCAGTCTGGTTGTAAAGCATCTAGTCTCTAATGCCAACCTACCATCGACATCTTTAAACCCATAGCGTCTGGCCAGGTCACACGTCATGAGCACCTTCCCAGTCAGAGACATCAGATTTTTATCTATCAGAGAAAAATAAGTGAAAAAAAGTTAGATCAGCATTTCTAAGATATCAGTCAAATAATCTGTTAAAATTACAGATTTTTGAGACAGAAAATAAGAGAATGATAAGTCCTAAGAAACATTTCTTCCACCTTTAATGTAACGTATATTTTGTACAATTCAACCCAAAAACAATCCGACCGAAACCAGACATTTTATCGAGGATATAAAAGTTATTCACTTATGGTGATAAACTACATTATAGCCACTGCTGCACTGGGGCAGACTGACGGAAGCGAGGCTACCATACTAACAGCCCTCTCATCACCAGCAGCAGGAAAAGCAGGTGTAGTGTCTTGCTCAAGGACACAATGACTTAAAACAGACAGAGTTGGGGCTCAAACTGGCAACCCATAAGTTGTGTCTGGATGTGTTTTCAAACTCACTCTGATGCTGAAAAGAATAAAACAACTCTTCACCTTCAGCTCAAAGCCCTGAGAAAAATCTTAGATCCATCTGAAGAAAAGGAGCTGCAGAGCATAACGCTGCCACCACCGTGTTCTGAAGTGGGCCGTGCTCTTTCTGTACCATTTCTCCCAATTTTCTATGTCTGTTTCCCACCATAACAAATATAATCCTGTTGATTTTTTTCCCCACCTTTCTTCCTTTGTGGATTGGTTTTTTGCTTTGGAGAAAACTCAAATGTAAAACTAAAAGTTTTACCTTAATTTCTCATATTTCACTCTTAAAGGCATAGTGGAGGATGTTCTTTTTCCGGGTAGATCATCGAAATAAGTGGTCCTCCTAATTGTCAATCATTCTGGTGATATGTTTACGTAAGGCCATCCTCCCCATTTTCACTTACCCATGGTGAGTCTGACATAGTGGAAAAATTGCAAATGTTCTTTTGGAAAGTGAGCTTGTATGAGCGATGCAAGCAGCAACTCTTAAACAGAGCGTGCATGAGGAGAAATGGGCTCGTGCATGATCTCGCACGCGTTTAATAAGCGTTCCCTCCCGGGAGCAAGTACAGGGTTGTGCATGTGCATTTTATTTTTTTTTTAAGAGAAGAGGGCGGGTCTTTTCCAAATTTTGCTAAACTCTCCACTATACCTTTAAAAGTGTATGCTGTTCAGAATAATTGTACACAATATATGTTAAGTTGAAAGGTGGACATTTTTATCACGTCTTGATTTTGTTTTTCAAGACTGTTGACTGTGATAGAAAACACATTCCAAATGTTGACTGCAACATTAAGGCATTACATTGCTGAGATAATAACTAATTTCATTGTTTACCATTAGCAAGGCTGACAATGCACTTCCCGCTTAGTTCTGTGGTTTCCCCGTTGGAAAATACGTCCTTAAACTAAGGAAAAAAGAAAAAAACAAAGCCAAAAATTAGGATTCAACCGGTTGCTTTTAAAAACAGATTTGCTGTTTAACAGTAGCCAACCTTGGAGTCCAAACCCTGTGGTGTATCCTTCTGGATTACCAACTGTGACACAAGCTCTGTTTGTACTGGTCCCGGCCACAGGCTGATGGAAGTCACTCCCCGGCTCTTCAGCTCAACCGCCATGTCGGCTGCCAGCCTGTCACACTGGAAACACAAAAAAGAAAACAAAGCGGGATTCTTTTTATTGACTTTGACAGGACTTTTAGCAAGTGTTGATAATGAAATCAAACTTGATGGGAAAGTAAATCATTGGAAGAACTTACAGCTGCTTTACCAACCCCGTATGGCACATTGAAGAGGTAGCGCAGCCCACCCATAGAGGAAATGGTCACTATTAAACCCCGACCTTGGGCCACCATTAAGCGGGACCCATAAACGGAGAAAAAGTAGTGCCCCCTAAAAAAACAACAACAAAACAGAACAATAATATGTAGGCATATTTGACCATTTATTTTTTGTTTACAACTTGAATTTGCTAAGTAGGTAAACTAAACCTCAATAAAAAACAACTTCAACTGATCGTAAGGGAAATAATAAGGCATGGAAAGGAAATTGTGATTTAGATAGTTGAAAGGCTAACAGTACCTCAGGCCTGTGTTGTTGACAGAATCCCAGATAGATGGATCCGTTTCCCAGAACTTCTTCCCCATGTTATCAAAGATATCCTGCAATTACAATTTTAATGAGGCAAAACATCCTGCATGAATCCCTGCTTCCTCTCTTTCCTTATAATTAAGGAAACACAAATTAGTCTTACTTCAAAAATCAATAATGCACCTAAAACAGTCTCTATTTGTTTTTATAATGCAAACCTTAACTCCAGCATAGGCATTGTTCACCAAGATGTCCAGTCTGCCATCCTGCTCTTGTTGGATCCTTTCAAAAAGGGCCTTAATGTCTTCATCCTTGGTGGAATCACATATCACTGGAATACACTTTCCACCTCTCTCAGTCACCTACATTGTAAAAAAAAAGGAAAACAAAAAACAGAATGGTCAAGTGTTTTGCAAAAGCTTGTTTGGAAAAATATCTTTTGAATTCACTATAGAAAAAAAAACAAAAAAAAACGGTTTAAGTTGCACCTCTGCAGCAGTTTGTTTCAGGGTCTTCTCTTGCCGCCCTGTGATGTAAATGGTAGCTCCGGCCTCTGAAAGCTGGAGCGCTATTCCCCTGCCGATTCCCCTGGAGGCACCAGTGACCACACACACCCAGCCAGAGAGGGACATCTTCACCTGTGGATGGGGTGGATCGTCATACGTTCTAAACGTTTTCTGAAAAGAACCAACTCAGTGCATAAGGACGGTAAAAGGAACTTGACTCTAATATTTAGGACTATTGTTTAGTCAAAAGTATTGAAAAAAAAGAAACAACATTTATTATTTTACTTAATTTAGGGATGTGGATTAATCTTATTTATACTGAGCTATCAAAATGTCCAACTTCAAACATGAAGCCTGATGCATTCCAACTCAAAAAGCCAACCTCAAAATCCAATATGGCTGCCACTCGTACCTGCTGCTGTATTAAACAAGTTTTTTTTTTTTTACACCAACCCTTTTATACATTCATTCAAATCAGCTAAAGTACTGTAAAGCCTGTGTTCTAATCAACTGCTTAACTGTTAAGCTACGAACAACATGACCTAACAGTAGTTAGCCAGATTGCTAAGCAATACATTCTGTATTTTAAACAGGCATCTGAAACAAATTAAGTTGGAATATGGTGATATAAAACATCCTGAAGATCTTTAAATTACCAATAAAAAATAAAGATCCCACGTAAAATGAACATATGTATTAGGGAAGGGAAGAAATGATCCGCTATTGAATCAAAATTAGCAAAGCCCTTCCAAATATTTTCAGGCTGCAACAATACCACCATTAGATTGCAACTTATGTTATTACAAGATCCAAGTTCTGACCTCAGAAGTAATGTGGAGTAAGGATAAATACAGGTGCATCTCAATGAACTAAAATGACTTTATTTTTTTTAGGTCACAAACTGAACAACCAGTACATACATTTCACCTTACTGAAAAGATGTACTGTACAGAGTTTGAACTTAATAGCATATATTAAGGCATAAATGTGTTGAGCAATGAAGGCGATCAGCCTGTGGCTCTGATGAGGTGATCAGGAAGCTCAGGTTGATTTGATAGTAGCCTTAAGCGTTTCTGCATCATTGGCTCTGAGGTTTTTGGACAACACCTTGGCAACTTGTCCGACCCTGAAGAGCCAAAGAGAGCATATTATGTTATGAAATAAAGGCAAAAAGAGGAGTGGCGGCCTAGTGGTTAGGCCATTGTGCTAGGAATGCAGAGGTTCTGAGCCCTACTCCCACAGACTGCCACCCTGAGTCCCTGAGCAAAGACCCTTAACCCCACACTGCTCCCCGGGCCCCGCACGATGGTGGTCCACTATTCCCTTGCATTTAACCCATCAATTGGGGATGAATGGGTTAAATGCAGAGAGTTCATTTCGTTGCTCTGTAGTGGTGACAGTGTAATGACAATGAAAGCTAGAAAAAAATATATATCCTATAAAAGTGCACTGAAAGGCTAAAACTTGCTGATAAATGGCATCAAAGTATTAATATTACAGAAGCGTGTTTTTTGTAAATTATGATGAAAGAAAAAGGTTTATTTATACAGCAGCAAACAGACTTTTGAAAATGTATATATGGGTTTAGGTCAGGTCCGCTTGCTAGCCAATCAAAACCCAAGCAGCTTTTGTCTCTTTCCAGACTTTAACTTCAGCTTTACGCTAACTTCCAACTAACATGTAAGTTTACTCTAATCTGAAAAGAGGACTTTGGACAACAGCTCCTTACATTTTCACCTTAAAGCAGATAAGAAACTTTTTTCTTCCACTCAACTTTTTACGAATATGCTTCACGAAAACACAGCCTGTTTTCAATGATCTTTTATGAACCTTAAGGATTTTTTTCTAAATAACTTAATGTGGTTGTTTGGGAGACAAGATTTATTATATGACAATTCTATATCATAAATCTCTTTTTTGTTTTGTTTTTTGTAATTACGTGTTATGGTTCTGATGTTCAGAGGCTCCATTTTATCTTAAAAGTGTCTGTGTGTGATGAATACATACACATTAAATCCCTAAAACAGATTAAATTTCAATAATATTCAAATTTATTCGGACATGCCTGTAGTTCCACCCACACGTAGCTCACTGACATCCTCAAAATATTCAGCACTGAAACAATCTGTAATTGTTTTTAATCAAAAACAACTCCTGATTTTTTTAACTGTTCATGCTTTAGGCCCTACATATTTAACTCAATTATATGTTGTTTTTTTTCCAGTAAAACTAAAGAGTATCTTTTGAGGACCACTGCAATAAACTGTAAGGTAAATAAGATTAGATAAAGGTCCCTAAGAATCAGATAGGAATGAAGAGAGATGGAAATAGTTGCATAACTCTCTGCTATGTTGTAGCTGGCTGACCAGAGTTCAGTGGAAATCTGCAGGCAGCATTCTGTCCTACAAAACTACTTTAGCTCTAGTCACCATTAGTCAGCAATAGTTAACAATGCATGAAGCAAACCCGCCTATATCATAATAATAAGAAAGTCTGTAAACAAAATAAACATAGTATTTAAGAAAATTAGCAGTACTTCGTGTTTAAAGTCTCTGGTTTTACTGTTTTCTCTTTCTTTGTGACAATAACTCCACTAACTTATTTTTCTGCAGGAAATTATTAGTTATTAACAGTATTTATATATGAAAAAAACGCATAAACCACACCAGTTGTAGACAGACGCTGCGGGGACCTCACTTTGCAGCGCATTGATATATATATACAAAATGTAATTAGATTTTAAAGAGAGTTTTAAATAGTTAAATTATATATATATAGTCATGTCATGTGTTTAGCCTCTGTTACTCTAAAATTCATTAAACTGTTGAAACAAAATAGCCGGCATGAAAACAAAGGCTTACCTTGTAGGAGAGAGGGACGGATCAGGTTTGTCTGCTGGCTGTTTACACTAACTGGATTTCTAAGGAAGAACGAGAGAAACTGGAAGCGTTGATTCACGGTAGACTGGACGCCAACGCTAGTGTAATGACGTCACATGTTTGGCAGTCAAACGGTGCGCTGTTATCAAACACACAGCTGCTGTAAATAAATATCGCGAGAAACAAAGTTGAATAACTAGTCCGCAAATTGGATTATCGCGAGACTTCACATTCATAGGGTATGCACCATAGATATCCATAATAAAGGCTAGATGTCTCGTCCGCGCTGCTGGCCAATGGGGGTCGACGTCCGCACGTGGCGGCCATCTTGCCACAGGCAGCTCGCTCATTCGTAACATTGTGTTTTAAAGGCGCATGTACTTAAATAACCATAACTTCCTCAATTGTCTTACGATTCTCAAACTGTTTGGTTTGTTAAACAAAAGTCAGACATGTAGTTATGAAACTGCACACTTATGAATAATTATAACCATGGAATTTCATATGAAAAGAACATTGAATAGAACATACAGGTGCAATAAATATACACATGCACAAGGTATTTATGTTAAATCAATATACAGGTGCTGGTCATAAAATTAGAATATCATGAAAAAGTAGATTGATTTCAGTAATTCCATTTAAAAAGTGAAACTTGTATATTATATTCATACATTACATACAAACTCATATATTTCAGATGTTTATTTTGTTTAATTTTGATGATTACAAATGACAACAAATGAAAATCTCAAATTCATCATATCAGAAAATTAGAATATTACTGAAGACCAATAAAAACAAAGGATTTATAGAAATGTTGGCCAACTGAAAAGTATGAACATGAAAAGTATGAGCATGTACAGCACTCAGTATTTAGTTGGGCCTCCTTTGGCCTGTATTACTGCAGCAATGCGGCGTGGCATGGAGTCGATCAGTCTGTGGCACTGCTCAGGTGTTATGATAGCCCAGGTTGCTCTAATAGTGGCTTTTAGCTCTTCTGAATTGTTGGGTCTGGTGTATTGCATCTTCTTCTTCACAATACCCCATAGATTTTCTATGGGGTTAAGGTCAGGAGAGTTTGCTGGCCAATTAAGAACAGGGATACCATGGTCCTTCAACCAGGTACTGGTAGCTTTGGCACTGTGTGCAGGTGCCAAGTCCTGTTGGAAAATGAAATCTGCATCTCCAAAAAGTTGGTCAGCTGCAGGAAGCATGAAGTGCTCTAAAACTTCCTGGTATGTGGCTGCGTTGACCCTGGACCTCAGAAAACACAATGGACCAACACCAGCAGATGACATGGCACCCCAAACCATCACTGACTGTGGAAACTTTACACTGGACTTCAAGCAACGTGGATGAAGTGCCTCTCTTCTTTTCCTCCAGACTCTGGGACCTTGATTTCCAAAGGAAATGCAAAATTTACTTTCATCAGAGAACATGACTTTGGACCACTCACCAGCAGTCCAGTCCTGTTTCTCTTTAGCCCAGGCAAGACGCTTCTGACGCTGTCTGTGGTTCAAGAGTGGCTTGACACAAGGAATGCGACAGCAGAAACCCATGTCTTTCATACGTCTGTGTGTGGTGGTTCTTGAAGCACTCACTCCAGCTGCAGTCCACTCTTTGTGAATCTCCCCCACATTTTTGAATGGGTTTTGTTTCACAATCCTCTCCAGGGTGCGGTTATCTCTCTTGCTTGTACACTTTTTTCGACCACATCTTTTCCTTCCCTTCGCCTCTCTATTAATGTGCTTGGACACTGAGCTCTGTGAACAGCCAGCCTCTTTAGCGATGACCTTTTGTGTCTTGCCCTCCTTGTGCAAGGTGTCGATGGTCGTCTTTTGGACAACTGTCAAGTCAGCAGTCTTCCCCATGATTGTGTAGCCTATAGAACTAGACTGAAAGACCATTTAAAGGCTTTTGCAGGTGGTTTGAGTTAATTAGCTGATTAGAGTGTGGCACCAGGGGCCATCAATTTTGAACCTTTTCACAATATTCTAATTTTCTGATATGATGAATTTGAGATTTTCATTTGTTGTCATTTGTAATCATCAAAATTAAACAAAATAAACATCTGAAATATATGAGTTTGTATGTAATGTATGAATATAATATACAAGTTTCACTTTTTAAATGGAATTACTGAAATCAATCTACTTTTTCATGATATTCTAATTTTATGACCAGCACCTGTATGCTATTAAAACTCAGTGTACTGAATGGCAACATGATATATAGATATATCTATAGATATCTATACATGTATAAATATGTGTATATATATATATAAAAATATGTATATATATAAATATGTGTATATATATATATAAAAATATGTATATATATAAATATGTGTATATATATATATATAAATATGTATATATATAAATATGTATATATATATACATATTTATATATTTATATATATATATATAAATATGTATATATAAATATATATATATATATATATATATATATATATATATATATATATATATATATATATCTATATATATATATATATATATATATATATATATATATATATAAATACTTTTATTTTGGGTGTGATTAATTATTTCACAGTCCTAATTTATTTATATTTACATACATACTTTATAATATGAATATTATTGTTATAATAAAATATGAAATGCTGACAAAAAAGGCTTATTGTGTGGCAACCTGTTGGTGTAGAAGCATAATCCAGGTTTCAAATTAAAGGTAACACTTTGAAGTTTCATGTAGACTATTCGGATTAATATATTATATCAGGGGTAATTACACAAAAGTTCCTATTTTTAAACCATTATAAAAGTGACATTTATTTGCCAATAAAATTGGTACAATAGTCCCCTTCACAAGTATATATAGATGTAGCATGTTGAAATCCCCAACTACACTACTGTGATGGTATACACATGGAAGACAGAGATTTAAAAAATGACCCAAAAAACATAGCTTGGCTAATGCCCTTTGAAAAGGAAGGTTTTATTGAGCTTCTTTATAATGTACAAGAGAGCGTTGTCCACAAGGCCATCAAAGCGGACAGGAAGGTAGCTGTGGTCATGTACTAGTGCAGGAATGTCAGCAAACGGGGATGGAAGATCTTCTCCTCCTGCTTACACATTATATAACCTGCAGAAACAAAAACAAAAGTGACCAACAACAATTCACGGTGTATAAGATTGGTATATCAATATGTGATTAAATTTCAATGATACACATGCCCTTTGAAGATGAGCTGGAAAGTTGAAAATGTTTGGCACAACACCATCTTTAAGTTGTCCAAAGGAAACTAATATAAACTTATAAAAGCTTTGAGTCAACAACAATCTTGTAATACTATTATGTCATAGCAAAAGTCTGGCATCTTCCTTTTAATAAACCCAGCAAATTCCTGTAACATAATGTAAGATGTGTTGACAAACCAAATCGATTGGAAATCATGTTCAATTCTGCCTCTTCCACTGATGTAAAGTTGCTGGTTAACGTTAGCAGCTAGCTAAACTGTAACGTTAGCTGCTAACTTACTAACGTTAGGTCTCACTTTGCAGCTTCTTGTTATTAGCCAGCTAACGTTAGGCTAATAATGAAAATACAACAACACTCAGATTATTGTTATTAGCCAACTAATAACTACAACCACATCCACAAATATTGTAATTTACACCAAAGATTAATTGTCATACAATTGTTATTGGTGTCAGTAAAACCTATATAATTGACTAATAATCTCAGCCTTGATAACTTGCGCAAGTAGCCGTGATGCACAACTATGCTGCGCGATTAAGTCATTTTTCGACAAGAAAATCTGCAATTTCGACATGTTCAAGCATCAAGAATAATAGCCACGTTCATAATGTTTGTAAGAAACCAAACTGTTTGTAAATCCGTCAAGAATTCAGTGAGATAAGAGTATTTGTGTTCGTGCTGATCACTCACCTTACATTAGGTACCACAGAGCACAACAGAAAGCCTGCCTGAGGTAAGATGGCCGCCGTTGATGCCGTTTGAGACTCCGCCGTAAGACATCTAGCCTTTATTATGGATATCTATGGTATGCACACGAACTGTATTACGATAGCTTGATTTTTTCATGTTTTACAGCTATATATTATGAATAAAAATAGTCTAGGAGACCGTTTGACAAAAACGTTAATTTTATTATCAACACAACAGCTGATGCAACTAAAATATATCAAACATTTACTGCTTTGAATGATAGCAGAGGATAAAAATACGATTACACCAGAATTACACCAGAAGATGGCGCTGTTTTCCGTGAAACAAGTAAACAAACTTCTATTCAAGTACACGCCTTAACAAAACCCCTGCAAAAAGAAGTTAAAATGGAGCAGTATTGTACTGATATTTGTCAATAAAATATAAAAACTGCACTTCTGGCAATATAGTCTTTTTGAAATACTGTTAAACCTTGTATCGCATTCTGGAAATGATGCCCACGTGTCCGACTCCCAAAGGATATTTCATTTGGATCCAATGTTTAACGAGATCCACATGATAAGGCCAGACTTAACTAAACTTAACTAAAATGTCATTTGACGTGTGCTGCACCGTTTTTGAGAATTTACCTTTTCCCCCTAATCTTAAAATATACATTAGAGTTGCAAATACTGCCTCGTGACCATGGACACAGCATAGCAAACAATTTCAAGCCATTCTTCATTCCTTGTGTATTTCTAGAAAACACAGACAAAGCCTGATCTCAGGATGGTCTAGATGACTCCATACAAGCTTCAGCAGCACAAAAAGACCTGCTGATTTTAATGCTACAAAAGATGTACTTGAAAAGCAGTATTAATGTTTTTTTTATGATAATGTGACACTGTTTTTAATGCTTGTTGTTTGTGCTTAACATCTATCCACTACAGTTGCTGAAATATTCAGAGAACCCGCACTCTTCCATTAACGTCATGTGGTGCTGCTGGGTATGGGTTTAGTAAACTGATTCTAGAAACCCTCAAATGTCACTGCAAAACATCAGATAAGTAATTATCCTGAAGACTTTTTGAATTTTGAGAAAATGTGTGGTTTTTAAACAAGAGAAGTGAACTAGAATTTGAATGTGGCCCATGACTTGCAAAGTACTTGCTTGACACAGACTAG